CTTTGGTCTTTACATAAATGGAATAATTTACTGCATACTTTTGTGTCTGCCGCCTTTTACTCAAACCACTGAATATATCAGTACTTTTCTAATTTACTGCTGAACAGAATGCAGTTGTATGAATCTACATAATTTATCCCTTCTCCCATTAACAAACAAGTTGGGCTGTTTCCAGATTTTGGCTACTGGGAATAGAGTTGCATGAAGATTCTTACACAAGTTATTTCATGAATATATATCTTGAGTAAATACCTAGAACTGGAACTGCTGGATTACTGATGTATGTATAACTTTATTTTAAAAATTGCCAAGTAGGTTTCCAAAGTGGTTATACCATTTTACACCCAGTGAAAGTTCAGATGCTCAATATCCCTGTCAACTTTAGTGTTATTAGCCTTTTGAAAGGCTATGTATCTTATTGTAGTTTTCACTTGCATTCCCTGATCACTAGTAGTGTTAAGCATCTTTATGTTTCTATTGGCCACTCATATATATTCATTTGTGATCAGTCTGTCCTAGCCTTGTGTCCTTTAACTATTATGAAAAATTGATTTGTAAGATTTCTTCACATATTTCTTGATAAGTCTTTTGTCAGATATAAATAGTCCACTTACATTTTCTCTAAGTATGTGGCCAGCTTTTTTATTTTCTTAATGATCACTTGTGATGGACATCAGAAATCCTTACCTATTATAAGATCATAAACATATTCTCCCATATTTTCTCCTAGAAGTATTCTAGTTTTAGCTCTCATATTTGGACCTATGATATACCTAAATAAATTTATGTATATGTAAGACAGGAGTTGAAAATCATTTTTTGGTCATGTTTATCTAAGTCATTCAAAATCATTTGTTGAAATGACTCCCTTTTCCCCATTGAACTGCCTTGACACCTTTGGTGGAACTCGATTGACTCTGCATGTGTGGGATTCTCTATTCTATCCATCTGTTCGGTATAGAATTTTGGGAATACCATATATTGTGTTCATGACTGTTAATAAGTTTTGAATTCAGGTAGTGTGAGTGTAATGTGACTCCTCCAACTTGGTTCTTGTTTTTAAAAACTGTTTTGGCTGTTGAAAGTACTTCATGTTTTCAAATATACTTGAAAATTGCCACCAAAAATTTTCAATTGCTACCAAAACAAACAAACAAAGCCTGCTAGAATTTTGACTGGGACTATATTAAGTCTATATGTTAATTTAGGGGGTTAAAACATCTTGACATTGACTGTTCTAGCCCACAAACATAGCATATATCTCCATTTACCTTTACAATCTTTGATCTTTCAGAAGTATATGGTTTAAGTGATAAAGTCATAAGTGTCTTTTGTTAGATTTATTGCTAAGTATTTTATGTTTCTTGATGCTGTTGTAAACAGAATTGTTTCTTAGGGTCATTTTCCAATTTTTCACTGCTAGTAAATAGAAATACATTTGGTTTTTACATACTGACCTTGTATCCTGAGACTGTGGCTAAACTCATGTTAATAGTTCTAACAGCTTTCTGGAGATTATATGGGGTTTTCTACGTATCATGTCTTCAAATAAAGGTAGTTTTGCTTTGTCGTTTCCAATTTGTATGCCTTTAACTGTTTTTTTCTTGCTGTATTGCATTGCCCAATACATAGTACAATGCTTCTGCAATATCCTTTGTTCCTGACTATAGGCAAAAAAAGCACTGTCTTTCATCAAGTAGTATGATATCAGGTACAGGTTTTCTGAGGACGTTTCCTTCTATTCCTAGTTTGCTGACAGTTTTTATATGGGTGATGAATTTTGTGAAATGCTTTCTCTGTGCCCATGGAGATGATTACATGGTTTTTCTCCTTTATTCTGTTAATCACATTTTTGCATGCTACTCTAACAATGCACTGCTGAGATAAATCCTACTTGTTTATGATATAATTATCCTATTTATATACTGGTAGATTCAATCTGCTAGTATTTTAACTAAGATTTTTGTTTCTCCATTCATGAAGAATATTGGTTGAACGTCTCCTTTTCTTCTACTTCTTTTTGTCAGGTTTTGGTATTAGGGTTATACTGTATTTATAAAATTAGTTAGGAAACGAGCCCTCCTCCTCTTTTTTTCTGAGTTTGGATAGAACTGGTATGATTTCTTCCCTAACAGTGGAATCATCTGAATCTAGAGATTTCTTAATGGAAAGATTTCCAATTGTAAGTTCAACTTCTTTAATAAATATAAAGCTATTCATATTTACTTTTCCTAGTATTAGTATATGTCTCTTAAGGAATTTGAACATTTTATCAACGCTGCCAAATTTATTGGCATCGAGTTGTTTATAAAATTCCTTTATAATCATATTTATATCTAGAGTCTATAGTCATAGCCCCTCTCATTCCTCATACTGGCAATTTCTATCGTTATCTCATCAGTTTTGCTAGTGGTATATCAATGTTACTAATCTTTATAGAAGACAAACTTCTCCTTTCTTCAATTTTTCTTTTTCTCCTTTCTAGTTCAATGATTTCTTCTCTTCATTATTTCCTTCCTTCTACTTACTTTGGGTTTATTTTGCCCTGCTTTTCTAGCTTCTTAAGGTCACTGATATTAGACCTTTCTTCTTTGCTAATGAAAGCATTTAAAGCTTATAAATTTCCTAGTAAGCACTGCCTTAGCTACATTCCACAGATTTTGATATGTTTTTCATCATCATTCATTTTTTAATTTAAACTGTGATTTCTTCTTTGACCAGGGAATGCTTTAGGAAGTGATATAATTTACAAATATATGGGCTTTTCTAGACATCTTAAGGGTACTGACTTCTAATTTAAATCTGCTGTGTTCACCAAAACAAACAAGGTTTTAAAATTTCAATATTTCGTAACTTAAGACCTTACGGACCAGCAAACAATTTACCTTGGTAAGCGTTCAGAGTACACTTGGAAAAAATGTACAGCCAGCAATCAGGTATACTGTTTTATAAAATGTCAATTAGATCAAGGTGGTTGATAGTGTTGTTTGGATCTTTTACATCCTCACTGATATATCTGTTCAGTCATTCTATCAACTACTAATTGAAAAGTGCTAAAATCTCCAAATATGGTTACTTGCATCATTTTGCGCTTCATGTACTCATATTTAAAGCATCTGCATTTATGATTCTTGTATGTTCCTGATGAACTGACCCCTTTATCATTGTAAAATGTCCTTCTTTTATCTCATAATACTTGCCTTTAAAACTATTTTTTGCTGATACTGACATATCTACAATAGCTTTCTTATGCTCACTGTTCATAAGGTATATCTTTTTCTTTCCTTTTACTCCTCCTAGATCTGAGTTTCCAGTTGGTTTTATCTGTCTTCAACCTAAAGAAATTCCTTATGTTCTTTCAGTGAAGATACACTGCCAAGAAATTCTCTCAGCTTTCACTATCTACAAATGTCTTTAGGGCTGGCCAGTTAGCTCAGTTGGTTAAAGTGTGGTGCTGATAACACCAAGGTCCAGGGTTTGATCCTTGTACCAGCCAGTCACCAAAATATATAAATACATGTGCACGCACACATACACACATATGTACGTACATACATACATACGTACATATATATATAAAGTGCATGTGCACGCACACATACACACATATGTACGTACATACATACATACGTACATATATATATATAAAGTGTCTTTATTTTTATTTTTATTTATTTATTTATTTATTTATTTATTTATTTATTTATTTATTTATTTTGTCTTTTGTCTTTTTCCGTGTCCGGCAACGGATCGCAACCCTCAGTGTTGCCCCCGTACCGGACCGGGGACCGGCAACGGAATTGCAACCCTC